CCCGGCCTGGCGCCCCCTTACTCCTGGGCCTCGTCTTTCCCACAGCAGCCCCCACCTCCTGCCTCCAGCTCCCGGACACCCCTCTATCTCCTGGTTCCCCCAGCTTCCGGGCCCTGGACGCCCAGCCCCAGCTCCCGGCCTGGTGCCCCCCACCGAGACAGGCAGGGCCTTGAACGGCCTTGGCCTCAGGCCTGGGGCCCCGCCGGGCACCACTAGCGCGCTGCTGATTTCCGGGCCTGTTGGGGGGATCCGAGGCGTATCCCACCCGGAAGAGCGCGTCCCCAAGGAGGGCCACGGGGAATGTGGGGTGCACCCCTCAGAAGATTTCGGGCGCTGAGAGACCCCTCCCCCAAGAGGACTTTGCAGGGAGGCTTCGTTGCCCCCTAATGGGGGGGTCTTTCTGGGACGTGTGTCCACCCCCACTATCCCCTATCTGGGCCACCAGATCAGTTGGGGTGCTCTGATGGCACCCCCACGGCCCTTTGGAGGGGCGGTAGAGGGCGCACCCAGCCCCCCACCAAGGGCGGGCTTACAAACGCACCCTCCCTGCCTGGGGGTGGCGGGGGAGGGGGAACCGGGTGGCTCCGGGCGCACCCACCCCCTCGGCTTCCCCCCGCCCCCGAAAGGCGGGGGCAGGAAGCGGGGGCGGGGGCCTCGCCAGGGGCTGTAAACACCGGCCCAGGAAGTGGGGGGGCCGCTGCAGCTGCGCTGGGCTGCTCCCTCCTCGCAGGCCCCCGCCTGGCCCTGACCCAGGCCGCCCCCTCCCCACAGGGCTCCTCACACCTACCCCAACAACTCAAATTCACCACCTCGGACTCTTGTGACCGCATCAAAGATGAATTTCAGCTGCTGCAGGCTCAGTATCACAGGTAAGCTGGGGACCCCGGGTCGGGGATGGGGAGGGTCTCTGCGTGTTGCGAAAGTGAGTTCTCCCATGGCAGGCACAGATGGCAAGACCGTGGCTTGCGGGGGAGGTTCTGGTCTCCACTGCATACATACACATGTGAAAATGCACATCTAGAGTGTCTTAAGAAGTGCTGGGCTGTCCCAATCACTTTACTCACGTTTAATTCATTTCTTTAAAACAGCCCCATTTTAAAAATGAGAAAACCAGGGCACAAAGTAGTTTAGTAATTTGCCCCAGTGTCGGACAGTATGGCTTCAGAGCCTCTCGCAATCCCCTTGAGTAAAAGATCTCCCCAGAGTGGGAGCTGAGAGGTAAACTCTCCACCTTCCCACCCCCCCAAAAATAAATTCTACAGCCTGTTCTTCTCCCCAGTTTTGGAGGAGTTTCTGGCATCCAGCACATTCTGCAAGCTGGCTTTCCCTCCAGAACTTAATCTCCTGACTTTCCTGAACAGCTTGCCATGTGCAGGATCTGAAAGAAAGGACAATTATTGTCCTTTTATTGCATCTAGAAAAACTTTAGCTCAGAGAGGTTAGGATATCCTTTGATATACATGTAGCCGGAAAGCAGCAAAACTGAGATTTGCACCCAGCTTTTTCTAGTTGAAGAATGCAAATTGTCAAGCACTTCAGTAAGGACAAGAATTTTGGGAATCACAAGAAGTCAAAGGCTGTGCATAAATCCCAGTTTGCCCTTAGGTCTTCTCTAACTGAAGTTTACCTACCCCAAAACTGTTCAATAAAAGATACTGGGTTTTTTCCAAGAAGAAAGGGGAATATCAATGGGGTGGGGTGACAGTTCTCACTAGAGTGCCTTGGTGTCCATCGCAGCTCACTGCAAAATTCTGGGCTCAATCAATCCTGCTCCAGCTTCCCAAGTAGCTGGAACTACATATAGGTGTGCATCGCCACCGTGCCAACTTAATTTTTTAATTTTTTTGTAGAGATACGAGTCTTACTATGTTGCCCAGGCTGGTCTCAAACTCCTGGCCTCAAGTGATCCTCTAGCCTCAGTCTCCAAAGAACTAGGATTATAGGCCTGGTGGCTCAGGAGTTCCAGACTAGCCTTAGAAAGAATGAGAACCTTTCAGGCGGAGCCTGTGGCTCAAGGAGTAGGGCGCCAGCCCCAAATGCCAGAGGTTGGCGGGTTCAAACCCAGCCCCAGCCAAAAAAAAAAAAAAAAA